GGATATTATCAAAAACTCCAGGCTTTAGCAGGATGCTTGCCTGTGGAATCTTGATATACTTACGGAAGTATACCCAAACAATCCCGGAGGACCTCTGAACGAGCGAAAAAGCATCAAAAATTTTTTTATTTTCAGTACTTTTAGGCTACCGAGGGCAAAATACCGTAGCTCAAACTTACTGTAAGAGTTGTTAGTGCTATCTTCATCAGGGGTACTGTGTACCGTATAGCACGACTGGTCATCGAAGTTACGAACCGAGCCACTTGCGTAATATTCGTGGGCCCGGATCAGCGTCTTCACTTTCAGTGCTCGTAGTACCGCTTTCAGCGCCTTTTGATTAAACGTGTATCCACATCTGCGATGACTTGGTGCGAACCATCTGAAGGAAAACCCCTGTCAGTGAGCGGATCAGTGCAACAAATGTTCGGGTTTTCACGATGGAACTCGTTGATTATGTTAAGATGCAACCGCATACACCGAATGCAGCTATTCCGAATTTACTTCTGGCTGTATACTTTAAGTCGACATGTTCCATAACTTACGGGTATTTAATTTTTTTACAGCCAAGTGAGTGAATTTTTCTTACGAGTATCGCTGAGGTGTGTTATTTTTCGCCTTTTTACGCGCCCAATGGTTTTATGCTTTGATTAGCAGTTGTTTTATCGTCTCGTTTCTTTTCGTCATTGATGCAGCTGGTAACCTCATTTTCTATTTTGGACTTCTCTTTTTCACATAATTCCATATAGCCGTTCCAGCGGATCTTTCCACCACACTGATGACCTTTAACATTTTTGAAGTGTCAATCGATATTTTGCTTCGTCCACCTGTTATCTCTCATTCTTGCCACATGACCAGCCCAACTCTTCTTCCTCGCCTATGTTGCCTTGCTGATATCGTTCGCGTCAGACCGGAACTGCAGTACTTCATTGGAGACATAACGCAGCAACTTGCTGACACCTACCATGTATTAAATCATGCCTTATTAAGTCAATCCTAAATTTTTCCGTACTGCAAACGTGGTATTCCATGTTTCACTTCCAGACAACAGCAGTGGTTGTACAGTGGGATTAGAAGTTGCCGATTTCAAAGAAAGTGTTTCGGTGGAGTTGTAAAAGGCGTTTCAGTGCTTTGTAAAGGCTATCCGTTTATTTTCTGTCATTATTGCAACACTCTTCATTAAATATGAAAGAAAAACGAGCTTACTTTTTTTGCCCCAGAACTGGATCAGCCCAAAGAAGATCAGCAAGTGTTAGGCCTTGAACAAATTCCATGTCTGTGGTATATGTCGGTTTGGCTATGCGCCTCAAAATATCGCGTGAAGTAAGCCACTGCGATATACCTCCATGACAAGCAAAATAGTGATCTGGAGAATAAATCATGAATATCCACTGCCGACTATGTTTTTCCTTTGATACAAAAACCCTTACTATTTGAGATGCTAGCTCGTTCCTGGATCCCTGGCGATGTATCTAGAATTCCTTTTTTCCCGAAATGCTATTTGAAATTGAAAACAAACTCGAAATAATTGCACATACGGACATATGGTCGAATACGTAATTGATATGTGTGAAAAACTGAGGCTTCTTGAAAATGTGCACACACTAAACAAAGAAAAATGCAGCATAATTACGCATACAAGATTTTTAGTGAGAAATTTTAAAAAAATTTAATGGGTGAAAATTAAAAAGTTGGAAATTACATGCTTCGACAATATCTTTGTCTATACAGCGCAGTATCGACTAATGCCAAAGACTTTTTGCAACATTTTTGCGAATTCTTGCTTTTTCCAGCTTTTTGTTTTCAGGTTTTTTATTTTCATGATAAATTTATATTAGCTGAATTCTTTTGAAAGCCACTGAGCTGTCTTCTTTTCTGAAGGCAAGGCGAACGCCAGGATCATCTAGCACACTGACTGTTAGGCATTGTAGTATTGGTCAAAGCTGTTGAAAAAGCTGTCTGTAACATAGCTTGGGAACGACACTATTGAAAAGCAGTTTTGCTCAAAGCACCTCAAACCTTAAAAAAAGTCAAAAATTCAAAAAACAGTGATCGGAGTCTCAGCAAACTGTAGAAATTTTACCTCATCGTAGAAGTAGAATGCTTTACCGCACTGATAAT